TCTTCGCCTTCCTCTTCTATCTAGCAGAAGAAGAACCTTCTCTTCTCCAACCAACTCTTCTCCTTCTTCTTCTTCTTCTTGTTCTTCTTCTTCTTCTCATATCTCTCTCCGAAGTCATGGACGTTCCATCCTCCGCGTTAAACTTGGTGCAACTTTGCCTCCTGCCTTCTTCTCCATGCCCGCTCGCAAACTTGTTCGCAGTTCCTGACCCTACATAGAGTGATTCGTGGCCCATTGCGACAAGTTGCACGTAAGATGCGGTCGCGCAAGTCGGTTGGGCAGTAAAAGATTAACGGGATTACGCGCTCAAGCTCGAGGCACGCTTTAACGCGTTTCATTTAGATGTGCTGCTGCTTTGCAGATCGCTGTGTGCGCGTTCCTCGTCGAGTTTCCCTTCGTAATTAATCTTGTCTCAATAAACGGGCTCCCGAATACCCGGAGCAATTAAGCTTTAAACGTAAAAATGTGTCAAAACTTTTCTCCGCCCGAAACAAAATACAAAGAGTCTTTGTATTTTCAGAGACCTGCTATAATTTAAATAAAACGAGACAAGATAGCCTTTGACGCCTAGCAGCTGGGAAAGAATGTCATTGCCAGATTCCCCCGTTTTGATAGGTGTGTTTAATAGATTTTTTTAGCGAGAAAAAAAGGTTTAATTGGTTTTTTACTACGATGCACTACAATTAATAGTTTTTGAGATATTAATATTTCCAAAAAAAAAATTTTTTTTTAATATATAAAGATTTCAAAACTTTTGACAAGAGGTTATTTTCATAGAGATTCAATTTTAAATAAAGGAGGAAATCCCGGAAATAAAATATTCTTGTGTAGTTGTGCTATAAAAAAACGCACAGAGCATGGTGTCGAAAACATGCTGTTAGTATTTATACATTAATGAAAAAGATTAAAAAATTATGCTTTGACAGAAGAATTAAAGTGAAAAAGTTCCGAGAAAAATTGAATCAAGAGAGAGAGAGAGAGAGTTTTCAACTTTATCTTTTACCTATTTGTTGAATCTGTCATGTAATAAGCGATGTAATCGCAATAAAATTTGGCATATTCTGTACACACATAGTTCGGCAAAATCGTTATAAACTCCGCATGTGGCTGCTTGTCCCGTTCAAACGGGAACATAATTATTAGATAGTATCGCCACACGGAATTTCGAGACCTGTTCATACGCTGCTAAAGTATTCGCATAAATCAGCTGTTATGGCGCAAAAAGATTTAATACGCAAATCGTATAAGAACGTGAGTAATTATGCATACCAATGTGTAACCCAATGTGTATAGAATTCAATCGATATCGAACTTTCCTGAAAGTCACAACATGCACGTGCAAATAAGCTAGGTGTTAAAGTCAAATATTCGCCTGTACACTTGCAATATACGCGAGCAAACGGATTAAATATACGAGCAGCAGCAACAAATTCGTTTCAATGTACGAGTCAGACAGAGAGAGTATATAAAAATACCAAAATGAATATAAATCGACTGACTGTTATAAACCACAAAGCTCGCCGACACGTATATCATGCATCGATTATTTACGATTAATATGTGTACGTGACCCGATCGAGCATCAATTTATCAAAAATCATATTTGACTAAATTTTATTTTACTCGTAAACTTATTGCGAAAATATTATATTTGCGCTTATCTAATTCTCGAAATAAATGGAGAAATTACAATCATTTTCTAAATGAAAAATTCTTTTATCTTTCAAATCAATTTTTTCATAATTAAAAGCAGCAGTAAAAGTTAAATTTCAAATTAAATATAATTTTTTTTATTTTATATTAATGGTGAGTATAAGAAATTATAAAAAATAATGCCGAATATATTATAAAAAATATAATATAGTTTCACTCAAAATTAAAAAAAAATTACTTTCAACTCAAAACATTTGTTATTACACGTAAGAACAAAAATTTGAAACTGTAATAACTGAGAAAAATAATTCGATGTTTTTAAAGATAAAATATATAAATTCTTCCTAAAAACTAAATTATACCGCGCATCGCGCACAAGATCTTATGACTCGAAAAAAAATGTGTAAACTCAGATCAAGAAAAAGAAGAATGTTAAAAAATTAATAAAGAATATAGAGTAAATGTAATTATACACACACGGTGCATATATAGATGATTTTGGCCACGAGTTATGATTTTCTAATTCTCGCTTTTTTTTTAAATGTTTCTTAATCAAAAGCAGCAGTAAAAGTTAAATTCCGACGAATTTTTTATTTTACAGTTTTATTAATAAATGCTAATTATTATGAAAAATACTAGTCAAGTATATTATAACAAAGAATATATATTTCCACTGAAAAATTTCTTGCAAAAGATTAATTCCAAATCACAAAACATCTGCTATTAATAAAATCGGAGATTTAACATTGATAGTAATAACATTAGAAATATTAACTCGATAATTTTCCTAGAGATTAAATTATGTATATCCGCGTGCCAGATTTTATGATTCGGAAAAACATGTAAATTCCAACGAAGAAAAGGAAGAGTGTCAGAATCCAGAGAATCAATAGGGAGTGTAAAACGAAATAAATGTAACGATACGCATGGCATATACATGCACATGCATATATGGACGATTTTGGCCACGAGCCATGATTTTCAACGGAATAAACTAACGGGACACCAAGGGGGCTGGGATAGATCGGCCGGAGATAAATAAATCGCAACGATGGTGCAGCCTCTTTTCTCCATGCTTGCCGAAATATATCGTTCGGAATTAATAGCGCGACGTGACGGCGCATCGTCGCGAAAGAGATTTAATTCGACCGATATACTGCCTCTTTGCGTCACCATTGTGCATCGATTTTTAGAGATGTATACTTCTCTCTCGCGAAGGAAATATCGTCTGGTAACTCTCTGATAAGAATCACGAAGCAATACCGCGCTTCGATCCTATTCAACTTAGTTTTTGCTGTTTCAATCAAATGCTTTTCAGTAAAATTAATTTTTTCCATGTTGATTTTCAATCGTGTCTCGCATAAGTATAATTTTCTATCAGCTATTTTAAGAAAAAATCGAGAGTTATGAATTTATTGTACGATTTTTTTAAATTTTGTCCTATGTGATTTTGCAGTAGCTATTTTAAGAAAAAAACGTGACGTTTCTCAATAAGGTTTGAAACGTACCTAACTTTTATTAAAACTTGTATATCCAACTAACTAAGTCAAAATCAAATTGAACACGTATCGATGTTAACGGAGTGGCGCGAGATGAGTTCTCGAGTAAAAGCTAAGGCTTCCGGTCAAGCCTTTTATGCTAATGTAATCTGGAGAGGAGTGCCCCGCCGCATTTCCATTAGCATTTATCCTAATTGCAGGGATATTTTAGCTATCAGAAACATGTTCGTAGTGCGACGACATTTCTATCGAATTTCTGCAAGAAGTAGAATAGATACAAAAATAGAAAAAATTGAAACAAAATATATAAAATTATAATTTTAGTAGCACAAGTAATAATATGTAAAGTATAAAACATGCAATCTTTTTATAGCAGTCGTTGGACATCAAACATTCTTTTCTTTTATATTATAGAAGATTTCCAGGATACAAAGAGTTGGTGCTTATTTATTAGAGCTAATCAGTATCATATGCGATCTGTCAAACTACTTGTTGCGATTTCGAAAGAGTTACATTAAAAATTTCGAAACTGAACCTTACGTAATAGAGATTTAATCTTCTAATAGATTTTCCCGATAAGCAATTAATTTAAGCTTGCGACGAGACTTTGAAATTGATCATCTCTTGAAATCGTTAATCGCCGATTACATCAGCAAACTCCAACTAAAGGATCGAATCGTTAAAAGGGCTATACGTCCTCGATTGCAGTCGCCTTTGATTTCGCTGCATCGTCGAAATCGGGATTAGGATAACGACAGCGATACATGAGATCGTGTATTTATCACTCGTATTCAACATAGGTTACATATAGGATACATATCTCGAGCTCAATCTGATTTAGCGATTATTGGCTGTAATCCCCTATCAATGTCGCAAAGCACACAAACTATCAATTTGTCGATATACAGAGAACCGGCGTAAATGCCACGAAGCAATAATGCATAGGAGAGGACATTTCATAAACGTTGAAAAAAATGTCTTAATACATTTTCTGAAAATAATTCCTCGGAAATTTAAAGCGACGAAGAAAATCCTAAGAGATAAAATATCGCGGCGATAATGTACAATAGTTGACGTTAAATATAAATTACTTCTTTTATTCAATTACTTGTACGATGTTTAATCATACCTTAATTAAAATCCTCGCACGCTGCCCGTGGGAAAGTTTAGAAGTTAATACCCGTAGAGACGGCGATACTTTCATATTAGCACGGCAGTCGGCCGACTTATGAGCGCCGGGATAGAGCGAGCTAATTACGTTATGGCAACTATGCGCGCAACTTCCTCTTTTCCCGTTTACTATTTTCCGGAAACGCGCGAGAAAGCATCCGAATCTCATAATTTGCGTGAAAAAATTCCCGAGTAATTTTTATAATATAATTAGTTCACTTGTCCGATTTAATCGCTTTATACTGCAATGCTAACTGCCACTTCATAATAACTTTCTCCCGATTATTAATATTTACAATCTCTCGTTAATGAATATAGATGAGACGTGGACGTTCGTTCGCTACTATCAATCACGACTAATAATTAAATTCGGCGAATTGCACCTGGTCGTTTCTATCGATCGATTATCGATTAATCATCTATGCATACAAAAGTCGCGCAATATTTTAAATAATTTATCATCGGCATTTGATGCTAAATTAATATAAGGGCATGTTTGCTCCGTAAAATAAAACTTTCTGCGGTTGACACAACCGCTATGCCGGAATTTTTTAATCCGCAAGATTACTCGACCCAACGGAACAACGCACCCGCGTGACACGTCAGGAGATAATTCCTAACTGTGCGCAGACAGTCCAAGCGTAAAGCTCGACTACTTAGTCCCGCATCTGATTTCAGATGACGACAATGTCGAGGCCGTGGTACACGGGCCGCAGCAGTGGGAACAGATAAGGCAGCGAGCAGTCATGTGTAGTGTCATGTGGCTCCTTCGGCTCCTGACGATCTACCGCCTGGCTCATCTTTCGGCATCCGGTACGCACACAGGTGAGTGCTTTGAAGAAACGAGATCTCTGCACTATTGTAGCGAAAAAGGAGACTAGGGATTGGATGCAATCGATCGCATGCTCCAATGTGTTGTAATATAATCATAATTTCGAAAAATTATTTTTAGTATGTATATAGAATAAAGCATTTAAATTAAGACGCTTAAATTAAATAGATAAAAAAATGAAGCAAAATAAGAAAAAATGTTTTAGAGATATTACCGTTTCTTTGATGAAAACACCTGATTTTTTTTATAAATCGACCCCCTCCCTCGCAATATAAAAAGTTACAAGAGTAAAAGTAGTTTATAATATAAATATTTTATATACATTAATTATAAAATATATATCTCATAAAATATTTATTTTTCTTATTGTAATACTTAATCTTATTTTATGCATAAAATAATGAGAGAAATTTATTGATAAGAAGTTCATTGTGAAGAAAATACACAGTTTAAAAAAATATTTATATAATTTGTATTACATATAAAATAGGGTGATTCCATTAAAAAAATTCGAGGTGACTTTCATGTCTTGATAAAAAAGTAAAGTAACAAAAAATAACTATTGTATTATATGTTTTTATACCATGCAACTTTTGCTTGTAAAATTTTTTCATATAACAAGTATTTTATGATGTACTCAAACTCGTCAAGTAACTCACTCTGTATATAAATGAGTATTTTTTGGTAAAAATAACTTTTTTACATTATCAAAACGAAGAGATTTCATCAAAATCAACAGCAAACAGTTTCGATGCAATCGATTATCACGTGTGAATCGTTATTTATGTATGACGTATACCTCGTTCAAGTAATAACAAACGCATTTTAAATCCTCAATGTGGAGTGATTTATAGTATAACACAATATTGATTGTCATAAAGAGCGTATCGAGAATTTCGAATCGGTCGACTGATCTTTAGCAAAGACACATTTTCACATCGCTGAGAAACCAAACCTTCACATTCGCGCGAGAAAAAACGGTACAACGCGATTGAATGTAAAAAAAAAACAATTAATTTCCTCTATTAATTTTATCAAACAAAATCGATTATAGCCATAACTGACTGAGCCAAAACCGCGTGAACTCTATAAACTCAAGAGAATCGTATTACTTTATAATACGAGGTGATGCTTTTATTTCTTTTATATATGCTGTAATTTCGCTGAAAGAGCGGACATTGCGATATCGTAAAACACACAGGCGAATAGGAAACTATTGCCTTTGTCATAAATAAGATTTACTCATCGACGAGGACAAGTCTCGCGAGTCGTAACATACTTTTACAACTCCATGTTTTACTCTGGAATTCCCATTATGGTTTAGGCCTCTGTTATATATGCCATAATCGAATTCTAGCCTAGAAAAAGCTCGAGACGATGCGATATTAAGTCTCATTCCTCATACTTATTCTTTTAAAGCAATTCAACTATCGGTCGATAAAAGTAACAAGCAAATAAGAGACTGTTTCAAATTCCAAAGAGCTCTTTCTCGACGATTCCTCCAAGATTACGACATATAACTTTATAATTCAACGACATCGGGTTCTACTCTACATACAGGGTGTCCCAAAATTAATAGTAAACCTGTTAATGGCAGATTCCTGAGATCATTTAGAGATGATTTTTTTGCAACGAAAATGTCGAGGAAAGCCATAATTTTTTGCATGTTCCAATTTTCGCCATTGTGTATCTTTGTAATTAAACCTTAAATTAAAATTCTATTAAAATAGATTCTACATAAAATTATATAATAAAAAAATGTAATTTTGTTAATATTTTATTTCCACATTGCTTAGTTTGCGAAAAATCCCTTATTTTCAATCGCTTATAAGTCGAAAATGATTGATGTCTCGACATTTTCATTGAGGAAAAATCGTCTCCAAATGATTATCTCAGGAAGAACCTGCCATTACCAGGTTTACTACTGGTCCCCGAGGACACCCTGTATTATATATGTGAATCTCCTTCGATTTCAAGCTCATAAGATATAACAAACGGATGTAATATTAACGTCTGAATTATGTAACACCGGACTCCTCTCATTCAGACACGATGAATTCACTCGCGTCTAATATTTTGGAAATTTGAATATTCGCTCGCGCGTGTGATTGTGGGCGTAGGTGATTGAAGCGAAAATCTACTTGGTTCTGGAAACGAACATATGCGCCGCGTCCGCGAAAGATCTATCTCGCGAGATGAATTCCCGTGAAATTTAAATTACGGTCGCATATAAATCCCTGGATGCGACGACGCTATGTAAATCCAAGGAACGATAATAACTTCCGACCGTGGCTTTTCTCTTATTATCCCGCAATATCACAGCGCATAACGTGTTCTACGAGATGTTACGACGTGTTACGCGTCGCTGCGCGTTGATTAAGATAATTAACGGAATGACATATCGCCGATAGAGGGTGTAGAAAACGCGGCGGTGTCTCTTGTGCGAATATTCGACTCATCAGTAATTCAGAAACTGTTTTTCAGAATTAATCATTATTTCACGCTTTCGCACAAAGGGCGAAAGTCCATGAGTAGAACTAAACGGAATAAATAAATTTTTATCACACGTACTTTTATATATTTAAGCCACTTGTTAAGAAACACAAAGAGAAAGCTTACTCGCTGTTACAGCCAAAGTGAAGAGAAAAGGAATTTAAGAAATTATGTTACATATTACACACGCGCTATACAAGCTTTGCGTGGATTAAAGAGCAACATCAAGAAGCTAAATGTTAAAAATTTGTCACACATTTATCTCGCGATAACAAGTGAATTATGCACTTTTATCTCTATTTCCGGGTTAATTCATATTACGAGAACGACAAATGTTAATGCTTTTTACACCCAATACATATACTTTTATAAGTTCTATAAGAACTTGCACTATTTTAACTTGATATTTTCGCCGTGTATTATTTATTTATCTTTATGTTTTCGCCATAATAGTGTAACATCGACCTTAATACGTTTATCTCGTTTACCGTTTAATGCTATGTCCCACTTTGCCGCCTTGTCTCGGATTAACTACACGATTCGCTCCCGAGGTTGAAACGTAATCATTAATAGTTTACACAAGAATGTGTGTGCATGCGCGACTTGCGAGAATTTCGCGGCGATGCGGTCTCTTCTGCTGAAGACACGTTATCTTCCGATAGAGTCGGTTATTGTTCCCCGTAAGACGGAAACGAGCTGAACGGCCCTCGTTTCCATTCTCGGTATTGTCAGACGCAGCCGGCACCGGATTCGCATAATGCTGCGAGCGCAAAAACATCGCGATCATCGAGCAACCTATTAACCCTGTTGCCAATGAACGTGTACTTGCTGGATATATTCAATGTAACTTTAAATATTCAAAATGTGTCGGAACTTTTCTTCGAAATTAAATATATAAAGAAATTATTAGGAGAGTTTATTAAAAAAAATTAAAACTAGGTTGACTTTTAAATAATCTTGAAAAATGACCTTAGTTAAAATTCAAGATTAGCAACTTTCTTCTTCCTCAAAACTTTTAATGTATGAAGTATTTTCTTGTTGCAACTACAGTTTCGACAATATTCGCGACTATGTTAATTAAAACAAAATACCCTGTATATATACAAGGTATAATTAGATTGAAAAACCAAAAATAGTTTTCAGTAAATTTGCATCGCGCGCGTTATTATTATATTTTTAACCATATTACTAAGACGTTCTAAATTTTATTTCAAAAAATATAATAAATAAAAATATAAATAATATGAATATAAATAGGTACAATAATTTATCGCTTTTCTTAGCCAACTCAAAAAAGAAGATCGAGCTAACATAATTATTTATTAAATGTACTCTATTTTTATTAATTTTATTGGCTACAAAAAGTCAAGACTTGATTTTTCATGAGATTAATTCTTTTTAAATATTAAAAATGTATTGAAATTTTTCTCTGCTTAAAATAAGATACAAAAAGCCTTTGTATTTGCGGAAACCTCTTAAAATATAACGAGAAAGAGTATTCGATAGCCAGCAGCTGCTAGAAAAAAATTGTCGTAGTGTTAAATATGTCGAAAACAAGCGATTAATACCCGGATATCCATACATTGACGAAAAGATGATTACATATCGACAAAAGGATTAATACAACAGCAAGAACAACAAAGAAGAACTATTTAATATCGAATTATTGCTCTCATAACGAATGTTTCGTATCAATTAACGATTGCGCCGATAACCAATAACTACGCATATATAATATAAATTATATTTTATCGAATTGATCGTCAATTAATTCGCAATGAATTTAGGATTATCGGAAATGTCGGGGTGCAAAGTAATGGCATACACGTCGAAATATTAGCGCTCTCTCGGTGTATTCTAAATTACAGCGAGGTGAATTTATTGCATATCACAAACAGCCCCCCGGATCACGAAAAGCGCGATATTTGAATTTTGCGCGTCAATGATAATAAGATTATAATTATAAACCGTATGCGTTTCGTGATATATGTATATTATAGTTACCGATTCGATCGTTCTTTATTAATTCAATTACATCATATTATATACATTCGGTAACTTTGTAAAGATTACAAGGATAATTGAAATTTTGGGGCACACATCGTGATGACGATGATGAATCGCAGGAAGTTTCACCATCGGGTGCCTCGGTGCACGTTTTCCATTTAAAACACACGACGAGGGTAAATAGAGAATGATTAACTCTTCTGTCAATGTATAATTATTCGCCTTTCAATTACGAATACTAACTGCGTGTTTTTATATTTTCCACTGCGACAATTTCTTTCTATCAACTGCTGGCCGTCATTTTTTTCTTTTTTTTTTTAAGAGGTTTTCGAATACAACAGCTCTTTGCATTTTGTTTCTAGCAGAGATAAATTCCGACACATTTTTAAAGTTCTTTTTGGTATCCGAATACGTTCACGTTGACAGATGAGTTAATTTCGCTGCAAACCCTGAAATCCTGAATCTTATAAGATTCAATGGCCATTGAAATTAA